AATTTACAGCGATGATCATTCTTCACTTTCATCTACAACCGCAGTTTAAATATGAATTATTTCATATATACTTCACATCATTTCACTCCTTACGGGAACTCAATTAACTGAACTCAATTAATTGACGTCGCTCCCAATGTATGGCTTCATAGCTCAGTTGGGAAAGCATCGCACCGGTATCGCGGAGGTCACGGGTTCGCATTCCGTTGAAGCCCTGATTTTTTTTTTCCAGGCTTCTCAGGCTTCTTTCCAATTGCTTAAATTGAAAATTTACTGCGATGATCATTCTTCACTTTCATTAAGTATTCTAATAATGAACTTTTTGATCCATTCAAGTGATTTCGGTGAAACTAACCATTCAGTTGAATGTCCCCTGGGTTCAAGCTCAACTTAATAGCACCAGCGACGCTTTCCATAACGTAACAGCCAGGATTGAACGAAATGTAAGTACAATGTCAATGCAATGAAATTAAATAGCCCGAGCTCTCTTAAGCCTCTCTATCAAAGCGAGGCGTGGTGTTCAACCATTCATATGAAAATGAGTTTAATTTGCCTGTGCAGTGAATGAAATCTCTTTTTCATCATGAACGGATAGGCACCAAGACTTTGAGAATGAGGCTTAGGGTAATTCGGAAATGGCCTATTCACTTGACTGGTAATAGTTTCTTTTCTTTTTTTACAATTTTTCAATACTAATATCACTAGCATTACTTACAATTTACAATAACTAGCAGTATTGGTTACAATACTAACGCTACTTACACTACTAACATTACTTACTAGTTAACAATACTACGCATTACATACACTGAACACAGAAACGTTACTTACAATACCAACATAACTTTTTTAACACGAATTTTGACAGGTAACAATAGCAAGGAAACAATTTGTGGTGTTTGACTTATGAATTTTGAATCAACAGTGATCTAATTTCCGAGGTCGTTGTTGCTTTATTTTTGAAGGTTTACCTCTTGTATGAAAACAATGTCCAGTTACGAAAAGTGGAGTGCCATAAGCTTATGTAAGTATGCACATTCTAATCTGCAACCAACTAACCTGTAATCTTGCGAGAGTTTTCAACCTGTTTTATCTTTGCAACAATAACGAATTGTGAAAGGTGCGCGAATAGTGTAAAAACAACCAGCAATAATAGAAATAATCGATTTCTTTTGTTCTTAAGCTTTGAAAACAAAATTAGCCAAATTGAGAAGAGTTAATGTATTGGTCTTAAATTTTAGAAATGAGAGTGGAAAGACCGCAGCAGAAGTTGAAATTACATTTGGCCAGCACGTTCAAATGTCTGCTTTTATTCTGTTGTACAAAGAGCTGTACGAAAATGGAACTCTGGGAAACATGACAGTGGCTCCTATCTCAGATAACAGTAAGTATTCATGTGAAGTTTATATGAAATAATTCAAATATGAACTGCGGTAGTAGACGAACTCAATTAATTGACCTCGCTCCCAATGTGTGGCTTCATAGCTCAGTTGGTAGAGCATCGCACCGGTANTTAAATTGGAAAATTAACTGCGATGATCATTCTTCACTTTCAGTAAGTATTCAGTTGTGCAATTCGAACTGGTGATTTATCACCCAATTTTACGATTCTGTTAGTCCTCTTTGCAATTAATTTAAAGTGTAAACATTTTGCAGTATTTTTCTATTAAATTTGTAAATGACTGGTTTTATGTGAGCTGGACAAAAACGCCTAAAAATCACTCCAAGCGATGAAAAAATAGAAGAGTAGAAAAAGGAAGTTAAGAGATTGAGGGAATAACTGACTGTTCTGAATTCCTCTGAATTTTTATATCGCATACTTTGGAGAGAGAAAAAGCCCTCTACCTGGGCGAAGTTTTTATTAACACCGTTTTGATAAACCAGACATATAAATCAATTAATATTAAATTAATATTCGCTTTTGGTTGCCACTATCGATTGTAACACGATAAGATCAAGTTAGGAATATTGGTTTTAGAAGGTTATTATTATGATATTTGCAAAATTTTTGCATGTTTGCCGAATACATATTTGTGACCTTTGCCAACTACGTGTATATAACATTTTCTCTCTAAATACACAGTTCCTGGAAAACCTCCCACAAACATGTCGGTTGAAGCCATCAATCCAACAAGCTTATTAATCAAATGGAAATTCTCATTGCCATCTTACGAGCCAGTAATTCCAAACGAAGCTCTGCGGATGTTTTATGAGCTTAAAGAAAATACAACAATGCAAAACATTAAAGACACGAACGTTACAGCAGGATTTCTTGTACTGGATAAATTAAAGAAATTCTCATGGTACACTGTCTGGATAAAGAGTGTTACGTCTCGAGGACTGGGAGTCGAAAGTGAACGTTTCAAAATACGAACTTTGGAGGAAGGTATGTTAGGAGGCTGGAAGCGGCTTTCCGGGGCTTTCCAGCATTCAGTCTTTTTTGGATCTGGCAACTTCACCACTTTGTTGAAGCTTCAATGGTGGTATCAAACGAATACCTAATCACTGTAGAATAATTTTATGGTCATCCATTTATTCTTGAGTATCAGGTTACCATAGCTCATAGAGTGTAACCCGCTCAAAAACCTTAAACTTTTAAGTACTTATAATTCGAAATCAAGCTCGAATTTTTATTACCGAATGAAGATATCATTTTTCTCAAAGTTTATTATAGTTTATTTTTGTTAATTTTGAATAAGAAACAAACGCTTCGATGAAAATAGCAGGGCATTTATAACTTTGTTCTGGTTTTCATATTATCGTGTTTCCAGTATAGTATAATATTATACGTGGTAATGTTAGTCAAATTGGTTTTCTCTTTTTATGTTGGCTCAGTTGTTCCTATCAACACGACAGTCCGACTGCCTGGCGAAAATTGGACTGCTGATCTTTTAAACACAACCTCAGATGCTTTCTCAAATCTGTCAAAACAATTACAGATTAAGGTAAGTATTCGTCATTTGTACTGCAACATTACTTCCAAACATCTCTTGGTCAACTGGTTGGCTAGGACAAAGGGATTCAAACCTCAACTGGTTTAACCGCCAAACGAGCAATGGACAAAAAACGACCAGAATATTTCGAGAAACAACATCATAGCTGAAGAAACAACAGTTAACATGTTTATAACGACTTACTGTACAGAATTATGAAAGCTGTTCGTCGATTGAGCTCTGACATATTCATAAAGATTATCTCATTGTCTCTGTTTTTAGGTGGAAGAAATGTATCACAACGAAACTCATCTACGCGACATAGTCATTCACCGCTTTAGGTAACCTTAGTCTCAGGCTAAATGGTTAGAAGTTCACGGTTACATAACGTTTACTTTATTAGCTTTGAGAATCATAGGGAGTAATCCAATCTTTAGTACCTTGCATGGTAACTATAGTAATAGCATTTCAAAGTTTTGTGGAAACTACTGGTGATGTTAGACAGGCCATACAATTTGATTGCAATCTGAAGTAATCGAGATCATTTGTGAAATAATTCTTGTCGAATGCTATCTTCTCGTAATTTGTTTCAATAAAACTATGTGTATTAAATAGGGTGGACACGATGCTAGAGAATGTCGATGGGCAGCCTCTTTGTTGATTATTCTAGGAATGACAGTCGTAAAGTTGTTGCTGACATGGAAATTATCTTCGGTCAATACGTGGAAATGAAACTGTTCATAACTCTGTACCAGGCCCTATACAGGAATGGCTCCTTTAGTGACTTACCAGTGCAACCCATACGGGACAACAGTAAGTTGTCACTTTTCAGTTCTATCCAGGAAAACAAAAAAAAACTCAATCTTGATCGTATCAAATTTTTCAACACTAACAGTTTGTTTTCTTAAATTTTCTAGTTCCAGGAAAACCTCCACAAAACATATCCGGGCATGCCACGGGTACAACAACCATTCTGGTGGAATGGACCACCGTGCCGTTGGAATCTGACGTTATACTGCTCAGGGTTTTTTATGTCATAACAAGCAAGCCAAATGAGACGATTTCGAGAAATGACATAAACGTAACAAAACGAAGTGTAAAGATTGAAAACCTGGAAAAGTTTGCTAACTACAGAGTTTGGGTACAAAGTGTTTCCACTCGAGGTCTTGGCGTCTCAAGCATTCCGATTAACGTTCGAACATTGGAGGAAGGTGAGTAAACGTTCATGTATGTTCATTTTCTTCTCGGTTCCAATACCGTATTATAATCATGGCTGTAACCAAACATGTCCCTGTCAGATACAAAGAAACCTTCCAGACTGAGAGATCGGATATTCCATTTTAGTGCTTAAGTATGCCTGAAGAGAACATCACGCCATATACCGTAGTACTTGGATTTAGCGCCCAGGGCTCTAATTTACTTTTGGTAGCTCAATGGAGGGGGCTTATTAGGCCTCTTATTAGAGACAGGGCGCCCATTGTAAGAGGGCGCTTATTGGAATGGGCGCCCTAGAAACAATATCATATTGTGTTAACACAACATGATATTACAATAAATAATGTCCTTTTTAATAGAACTGTAAACATTTTGTTTGTTATCTAGTTGTACCAGTAAACTTGACGGTTCGTCTCAGCGACGTGAAATGGAACAGGAATCTTTCTGATCCAGAAAGCGACAACTTCAAAATCTTGGCCAGAACCATTCAACAGAATGTAAGGTTCATTATCTTAGTAGAACCTTAGATCGCATGATGTAGTTTCGATAATACCATGCTTTCTGCTACAGCTTCTGTTTTCTCGCGTCAATTTTAGATATCGACGAAACCCCCTCTATAGGAGGGACATTTTCTTTTGATAGGCACATCCAAATGAATTATCTGGCAGAGAGGCATCCGAAAAGAATTTGATAATTATATCAAGACAGATTAGCTCTTTAAGTTCTCATTTTCAAGTGTTTGTGGCCATAATAGGTTGAATGTGATCATGATAGTACTATAGATGTCGCCATTATGGCAAATTAAAGCATGTATTCAAAATGCAAGACAGCATACATATTTGTACGACTGTTTTTCAAATATATCACTCATCTTCCTGTGTAGGTGTTCCTACTGTATGGACAAGAGTCGAGCTACCTACGGAATGTCCAGTGCCATCAATTTAGGTTAGTAGTTAGATATTTTTAAATATCTCCATTACACATTCTAACACTACCACATACTGGTTGAGTAATTCCAACGAATAAAACAAATTTCAAGTGCTTAAGTATGCCTGAAGAGAACATCACTCCATACTATAGTGAATTGGATTTAGCGCCCAGGGCTCTAATTTACTTTTGGTATCTCACGAGAGGGGGCTTATTAGGCATCTTATTAGAGACAGGGCGCTAAACAAATTTAGTTTGGTCCAAGAAAAGTAAACTAAATATGAAACCTTTTGATTTCAGAAATGGAAGTGTGTTGGCAGATTTGACTATAGTATATCGTCAAAGTGTTGAACCAAAGCAGTTTGCTGTTATTTTCAAAGCACTCTATGAAGATGGGAAACTTGGAAATTTGACCGTACAGCCGGTTAAAGACAATGGTACACGACAAACACTTCAATCACAATATGTACTTGTTTCATCTTTTCTTCTAAGTGGCAAACTCGTTTTCGTAAATTGATTTTTTTCGTTCTTTTAAAATTAATTTGAAACTTTGAATGCTACAGTGTTCTGGGGAAGACCAAAACTTAATTTCATTTAATGTATTTAACAATGTTTAACAGCATTGCCAAAAAAGGAATTGAGTATCGTACATTGCCGCTTGTGGTCGGGCTTATAAGCGGAGAGGCTTAAGGTGGCTCAAAACAGTAATATTTCCGGAAGCCTTATAATCGGAAGTAACATTATGTTTACAGGTAGATGGGCCTATAACCAAGGGACTTAAAAGCGGGAGGACGTATAAGCGTTTTTACGTTTGCGGTATACCGCTGAATATCCAGCCGGCTTGATGACTTTAAAGGATGTGGGAATTTGTGAGAAAATCTATGTATAAACAGTATAATCAACGAGCACATACCTACTTGATATTCATTCACCGATGCGATCTTTCTTATTGACTCTTTTCTTTTTCCTGATCCTGTAGACCGTCTTCTTAGGTAAAGGGGGGAAAAACCTTGGAAACTCATAAAAGTGACTCCATTTTCAATAATTTTGTAATTTAGACAAGACAGTTCCGTCCTTTTTCTTGTCCCATGTATACCACGTTATTTCAATTAGTTCTGAATTCTAACTTAAGGTAAATGTTCTTTTGTTTTTAAGTACCCGGTAAACCGCCAACAAGTGTTAGCGCGGAGTCAAACACATCCACGAGTATCAAAGTCACGTGGCAATGCGCGGACTGCCACGAGCTCAACACAACAATAGGATTTCTTATCTCTTACAAACTTGACAACAACAACCGCACTTTAGCTGTTGCTGTAAACAGGACTGTAAGAGACTTTCTGATCAGTGGACTTAAAAAGTTTTCAAACTACACGATCTATGTGAGCAGTGTAACGCGAAGGGGCGTCAGCATGTCAAGCAAACGATTGAGCGTAAGAACACTTGAAGATGGTAAGTAATGAAGAAAAAACATTTTGTAATGCTGTGATGAGTAACAACATTCAACAAAAACTTTATTTCACCCCAGAATTAAAAGAGAAGACGAATTTACAATGTTATATCTGATATATCAAAGCAAAAATGATAGGGAAGCTGGCTACCCGAAATAACCTAAGAGTTTAAAATTCCAGGCAGCTAGTTAAAGGAAAAGATGTTTCACATGTTTCGGTCAGGGACACAAGACAAGCAAACATAGGCACACGAAAATGGACATAAACAAAGTTAAGCTAACTACCAGTAGACTAAGATTCTTACATTACTGAAGTACTAAAAGTTCATTCAAATCCAAGGAATTTCAAAAATGGTTTATTAAGTAGAAAAAGGAAGAGGTGATAATGACCATAAAGGGTTCATTCCCTGGAACTTATGTACGAATTATTAACGAAGAACCTATAAGCATTAGCATAAACTTTCCAAGTTGAGCCATCCTAGCAGTAAATCTCTCCAACAAAAGCTTTCTTTTTTACTGGAAAAAAATAATACAAAATACTTTAATTCAAACTTGAAATTTTAGTGCCCAGTCTTGCTCCTGTGAATCTTCGTGCGTATAACATGAGCTCCACCAGTCTTTTGGTTGCCTGGGAACAACCTCCTGAGGATCAAGTGAACGGCATTTTGTTGGGTTACAAAGTAACTTACAGTAAATATGGAGAAATCGACACCAGAAAACAAAACGACAGCGTTATGTTGAATTTCACCACAATAAGCGGATTAGACAAGTTTACAGTCTATCAAGTAAATGTGTCGGCGTTCACTCGTGTTGGGAATGGACCAGAAGCAAATGTGTCTGCATCAACTGATCAAGATGGTGAGTAGAAACCTTAGGTTGGCTTAAAAACAGTGTTTTCAGAATAGTTAGTCTGTATATCCAGGAACTAACCTGTTTTACAGGTTAGTTTTCTCGACAAGAAAGCAACAATGAAGCCGATTTCCTCTAAGAGACAATCATGGTAGTTGTATTCATCGTCTTGAAGTGGATATTGTTTTTCATGATACAACTACCATGATTCGCTGCAGGTGCTCATGGGGGGAATTCACCTGTCCAACACATTTAATTAAGTGGCGCATTAATCTTCGTGACACTAATTTTATGTGGGAAAAGATTAAAGGGATGACATTTTGATCTTATGCGACTGAAATTCTGACAATTTAACTGGATGCTCCTCGTTTTAAGAGGTATCTATGCTACTCACATGTTGAACGATCTAACATCAAGTCATGAACGATATGATTTCGTTTTCACTTCAACTTCTAGTCTCGATTTTGTTTCTGTTCTCAATACAGACAGAGTTTTCTTTGTGTGATTCTCGTTAATTTCCATTATGACCTTTATTTCCCCATGATTTGAAACACGTTTTTAAACACGAGTGTTCATTTCATATGATGAGTTGCATCATGTAATTTCTAGTGCCCAGTCTTCCACCGACGGACATCACAGCATACAACACGAGCTCAACAAGTTTGAAGGTGACTTGGAATCCCGTCCCGCAAGGGTACGCTCACGGGATTGTTCTGGGGTACATTGTGCTGTACAAAAGGGAGAAGGATTTAAACACTAGTTATATCAATATAACAAGCCTAGTGACCTCTGTAGAGCTCACTGATCTCAACAAGTTTACAATGTATGTGGTCAAAATGTTGGCATTTACAATAAAAGGAAACGGAGCGATGACAAATGGAACTCATGCAAGAACACATGAAGATGGTGAGTAAAACATGTCAACAAACAGTTCATTTGCGTTGTAGTCAGAATTCCTTTTTAAAATGTTTCAAGATCACAATCTAACCAAAAAAGTCCCTGTACTGAGGCACCAACTTAACGCTGAACAGATTTAAATTTTAGGACGCATGCTAACCGATTCTTAAGTAATACTGTAATAATGTCTATATTTTGACGTCGTCTAATGTATGATTTGTGTTATTTGTATTTCTTTTCTGACTACTCTGACTACTCGTGCGCATATTTTTGCTCCGAGCTTTCTAGGATGGCAACGCCTTCAGGAATAAAATACTTTTCAATCTTCGAATGTAAATCTTGTACGCCGTGAACGCTCATCTTCGTTTTATTGTTTAAACAATCGCATAAAACGTCCATTTCGCAATATATTTTCTTTTCACAGTTCCCAGTCTGCCTCCGACACAACTCGGCGCTTACAACACTAGTTCAACAAGTTTAATGGTCACGTGGCTGCCTGTTCCTGATGGATATGTGCATGGCATTCTCCGAGGTTATCGTCTCTTGTTTAAAATAGATGAGGACAGTTTTTACCAGAATGTGACAACAGTTAACCAAAGTTTTGAGCTGATGGGACTTGAAAAGTTTACTAATTATTCTGTTAAAGTTTTGGCGTATACTCGGATTGGTGATGGAAACGTATCTGACCCTGTTCTCGTTTCAACTGATGAAGATGGTGAGTTACTAGCACAACTTCAGCATTCTCTGCTTCGAGCGAGGACTTTTTATGCTTACTACACACACAGCAACCTTTGTTGCATAAGTCTTCACATGACCATTTTTATTTGCAGAACAAGATACGGCAGTTGTAAGTTTCACTTGTCGAGTTGCAAAACTTGCTTATTTGCACCGGGTTTAACAAAGAAAACTACTCAAACGGTAACGATATATATGAGGTTTCGGGAATTTCTATAGTACAAAGAGTAATGCAGCTTCAAAGAAAATTCGTCGAGAAGCTTTTTTATTAGGCTACGAGCAGACTGAACTTCAAAGAAAACTTGTAAAGGAAAATTTGTTGTTCGTTCACTCAACCAGATACAAATTTTCAAAGATACTTGATAAAGGAAACTCCTTCGTGAATTTGATGAGATGCTTTTTTTATCGTATAAGGGCACTTTTCGGTGTGTTGTCTGATGTATAACACTTAGTGAAAGCGACAAATACTGGACTCTACTGGTTCTGAATTTAGAACTCGATGGATTCATCGTTATAGATATAGATATAGGCAAGATAAGACGACAAAGAACATTTATTTTTATTCTTTCTTCTTAAGGACCATAAGACTATGGAATAAACTACCCGCGGAAATAGCTGAGTCAAACTCACTGGCTGGTTTTAACTCTAAGCCACTTCCCTATTTAGCCAAGAATTAATAGACTTTTAAACTATATATTTTTATATCATACTCTTTTATAATTCACATATTTTTATATATGTATTATCAGAGTTTATTTATTTATTTATTTATTTATATATTTTGTAATCAACTTTTATAATTTAGTTGGTGTGATGTCTTAATGATTTTACCAACTTAATAAATGTAGATGTAGATGTAGGTGCCCAGTTAACATATTATGGTCAAAATGCCCCACAAAATAGCTTACCATACCGAGCCAAGTTTTTCTAAGACCTAGTTCAAGCTACTAAGTGTTTTAACTTGGCTTCAAGGTCTGCTGTATCGTATATTTCTTCATCGTAGTTAGCTTTGCTTCAAGCGAAGTTTGACCTTTACACCAATCCTAGTTGCCCTCATGTTAATGCACGGGTTTTACTTACGCAGTTCCAAGTCTTCCACCTCACAACGTCAGCAGCTACAACACAAGTTCCACCAGTGTCCATGTAAGCTGGCATGAGGTGCCCCGTAGCTTTGTTCATGGTATTCTGCTCGGTTACCGTGTGTTCTACAAAGTCGCAAGTGGAACAAGCAATAACAACGTCGTTTCAACTTCAGGAACTACAAACGAAAAAGAGTTGCAGGGGCTAAAGAAATTCACCATTTATCAGGTCACTGTCTTAGCGTTTACAAGGATTGGGGATGGAGCAAACTCAACTAGCATATTTGTTTCAACTGACGAGGACAGTAAGTCGAAAGTAATCCCCCCTTAACCAGTAGACAAGTCTTCATTCGACTGAATTGAACAGATCTTCTTGCAGCGTTAATTGCCGGTTTTAACAGTATTTTCCCTCATTATATCAGGAAAAAATACTGGGAGATCAAGTTTAACTCAGCTATTAAGTGTCGCATAGGTTTGGAGTTTAACTATATCTGGAGAAAAATATATTTATCTCATCGACTGTTGCCTTTAAAAAGCTAGTCAAGATTTAATAAATATTCATCACTGCACTCGATGAAATTAAAGCTCTTTGTTTATTATGTAGGTAGGTTTTGTTCAGTAAAACAGATGACAGCTACAATGAAGCTAACATATCAGAATTTTTCAGCCCTACTTCCCCACTGATGAATTAGGCGCACTTCCAGGCCCTCTAGAAACAATTTTCTCTTAGCTTCGCTGGTTACAGAAGGACGCCACTCCAAGGGAAGCATTCCCTACCATACGATGTTAGATGAAAGTATTTCCTTCTCTTGCCATCCAAAAAAACAAATCCTTTGTTTTAATTTCAGTTCCCAGTCAACCCCCAACTGACCTAACAGCATACAATACAAGTTCTACAAGTCTTCAGGTGACCTGGGGAGAGGTACCTGAAGGATTTGGTCATGGAATTCTACAGGGTTACCGAGTGTTTTATAAAAGGACTGGTGACAAGAATGACAGTTATGTGAACTCGACCACAGGCCCAAACGAGCGGAAGCTTCACATCACAGGATTGGAAAAGTTTACAGCATACTCATTAAAGGTTTTGGCTTTCACAAGAAAAGGCGATGGAGCTGTTTCTGTTAATATGTCTGTTTTAACAGATGAAGACGGTAGGCGTTTTAAATTCTCAAATATATTTGCAATTTCGCGGAGGTATATAGTTCAGTCAAAATATACTGCCCTAGAGAAATGTGCAATACTAAATTAAGAAAAGTTCATGATTATCATTATTAAAAATGCTACATTTACGATGCTTTTATCTTCATAGTAGAATAACTTAAAAGTTTCAAAATGTTAACTATGTTATATGTGAGACCACTTGCAAGAAACTTCAACACTTGGTATTTGAACGTCTTAACAGTTACACATTCATTTTCCTCTGCACCTCGCAGCTCGGGCAAAAAACGAATTTTAGAACTTTATTAACAAACTTACTACCGTAAGCTTTCTCTCTATGATCAGGGTTCATTCTTGAGATCGTGTTAACTAATACCAATCTGCGTACAGTTAGATCTTGGATTGATAGAGTGCGCATTTTTGTTTACTTTGTTGTCTACAATTCTCCAAGGCTGAAACCATCATTTCTTCAAATTTCAAATCATTGCAAGAAATCAAATAGCTATGCTTCTTTCTAGTTCCCAGCTTGCCTCCGCAAAGCGTCAAATCATATAACACAAGCTCTACCAGTGTGAACGTCACGTGGCTTGAGGTTCCCACTGGCTTTGTTCACGGCATACTAAGAGGATATCGAGTATTCTACAACAGAACTCAACTCCAGGGGGCTACTGTCAAGGACGCGCCTGCTAACAAACGTTACGTTCATCTGATGGGACTGAATAAGTTTACAAACTACACAATACAAGTGGCCGCATTCACAAGGATTGGTTACGGAGCCTTGTCGTTGGACTTGATAGTCTCCACTGATGAAGATGGTATGGATAGTTCTACCTTCTCCTTCAGTTACGTTTAAGAAATCATGATGGATTAATCCGATCTAACGTTTCTGTCTTATTACATTTTCGGTGATCTGTTTCAAAATTTATCTGACTGAAATAAAGTTTTCCTTCTGTGTCACTGTAGAATTGTGAGCCAACCTATCAGCTGAATTTCATGCAAATAAGTAAATCAAAAGGAAAGACGTATTTGGACATTTTCATAACTGGCCAAAAAGCAATCACTTAGGAACAAAAGAAGTTTTTCCCAATTTTGCACACATTAAACTAAGCATGCTTGGTTTTATTTTCCTTTGACTGAATAAAAGAGCTCCGCGCTAAAACTCCAGTGTAATTGAATCAGTTGAGCCTAAAACGCTTCTAGACATCGTGCGAATGCCGTCCGTTTAGGAAACAAATAAATGGATGAATGCAGATCATAATCACGTACCGTGCAAGTCACATACTAGTTGCTGGACATTCTCTGTTTAAAGGTTAATTTCCACTTGCTCGCTACGAATTTCAGAATCGCTTTATTGACGTCTTTATTATTAACTTTAGCGATCAATGCGATTACATCGACACTGCCAGTCTCCCGGACATAGTAGCGATCGATGCAATGATAAATGTACTAAAATTCACTGCTTCGTTGTTAATTCAGGTCCTTTTGGGATCAATATTGTATTCTGTAAGAAACTAGTTTGTACGCGACATCTAGAGAACCGCTCGACTTTTTCTGTCGGGATCGCTTCGAAGATATCGCAGTGATCATATGGAAACTAAGGGGAGGTTATAATCATTATCAAGCAATTTTTCTTTCTTAGAGCAAAAGTCTGACTTTTTGTTTTAACACAGTTCCCAGCCGTCCTCCGCAAAACCTCCGAGGAAACAATATCAGCTCAACAGCGCTGAGAATCACGTGGAACCCAGTTCCCGCCGGTTTCGTGCACGGTATACTGCGAGGGTATAGAGTGCTTTATAGAAAGACGAACGAACCTTTCGCACCTTACACTAAGATAACTGTCTCACCAAGAGTCAATGTGAAAGAAATCCACGGTCTTAAGAAGTTTACCTTCTATACTATACGGGTTCTCGCGTTTACCATAAAAGGTGATGGTGCCAAGTCTGCACCGGTAAATGTATCAACGGATGAAGACAGTAAGTATATGATATTGTGAACGATATTCTATAAACGGTGTATATAAATAAATAAACAAGTTCATTTCAAGATTCTTTATTGAACATTCAACCCTGAGACTATGTTCGTTGCTTCTTGAGAACGATTGAATTGTTACAAAGACTGTATTTAAAGTGGCAGTCAAATTTCGCAACGTTACAGGGAATTCCATAGCAAAGCCAACCCATATTGTGTTGGAACACGTAGTAGCTTACGTATGGGATTTTTTCTGAAAATTTATAGACTAATGTTAACATTCAGTTCACGACTATCTAACATGTAACAGATGTCTTCTCCGAATAAACAATGATCCATTAATGTTTCCAGTTCCCAGTGAGCAACCACAGAATGTTTACGCCAAGGACAAAGCAAGTGCAACGGTAATTTACCTGTCATGGCACCGCCCCCCGGAACACACCATGCACGGTATTCTACGTGGCTACTACATTTGGTACAGTATCATCAGCCTTGGAATTTATGACGAAACTCCAGTTTTTCCACAAGACTACATGAAGAAACAACTACCTGCAGGGTCTAAAAGCGATGCTCTCACTGATCTGGAAAGTTACGCTACATACGACATAAGAATAGCCGCCTTCACCAGCAAAGGATACGGTCCCATCAAAGACATATCATCAAGTGAGCGTGATTATTCGTTGTATAATATAAATATTTTTACTATGTTTCATGTACGTTTGTGTGGAGAGTTACGTCGATTTTGCCTCGTACTGAGTTTTGTGCGAGAAATGAAACGAGGGACCGTGATTCCTCTCAATGTTTTGTTCCCTGCTGCTGTAGGGCTGCCTTCTTGAGTCTTTTCCGAGTTAGGAGAATGTTAAAGGAACTCTTACGGCAATCTGAATAAAGAGTAAACCTGAGTTTAAAAAGTAATTCAGCTACACAGTAGATATCACACGTTTTGTAAAGCGTATGTTACTGTTTAAGGCCACACACAAATATAACTCTCTCAAGCAATACGCGCAAGTACTTCAATTGACTCGTGTTGTAAGCAGTCAGCAACTCATCTTTTACAGACTTTGAAGCACAAAGACATGTATAAAACCTTGTCTAAAGAGCAACCATATCTAGATTACGGCATAGCCTAGCCCCTTCTGGTCCGTTGTGTAGAAAGATAGTTCTTTTTTTAATTTTGTAGTTACACAGGAAAAAAATAGCCCCTTTTACTCAGCGTGCTCTGATAAATTTAGAATATTCGATACCTGTATGTCTTTTTTCTTATCCTGAACAAGGCATCCTCTTCCAGCTGACTCATAACGTCACAATCGGTGACGCCTGACGTCACCGGGCGGTAACGTAGAAAGACTTGAATAACTAGTTTGTGATGTTCAGGTTTGTAATTCTCGTCTGAAATTAAACATGTTCTTCTTTCGAAGGAACCTGCAGATGTCGCTCCACGATCCCGACTAACTGGTGGAAAAATCCTCCATACGTGAACTCACAACCCTATAGCAACAGAAGCAAGGAAAGCGGTATCTTGCCAACCATACTTGAGTTGGCTGTTTCTCACTGCTGCCAGGGATGCGATGAGTTCGGCGCCACGACGATTGACTTCACAACTGATGCAAATGGCTTAGAAGCCGAAAAAGAAGGTGTCATTGAGGTCAAGGACGCAATCAGTACCAAAACAATGATTTCCTTTGGACTTGCTGGTGTAATGCCTCAAGAAAAGTACTATAGTCCTGATGGGATAGCGGAGTACGTGCCTATCATGGAGACTCCGGGCGTAGCTTTTATCGTAGCTGAAAAGAGGTGAGAGAACTACAGAAAGTGATACACTAAATAAGATATTAACCCTTGTAGGAAGTCGTTAATTAATCTATAAAATAAACATAACGTAACCACAAAGTTAACATTTCAAAATCCATCCCGCGTTTTTGGAAGATCTAATAACGATTACCACTCTTCTATGCTAGTGTAGATCTTTACATGTTTAACATGGACGTTTAGATTCGCCCCGGAAATCAAAATCTCACGTTTCAATTCTGATAACCATCACTGAACCGCTCGAGTATTTTCAGGGGCGTAGCCAGAATTTTTCAAAGGGGGGGGGTCACACTGTGTCAAAGTGAGGGTATTCACCTAATTGTCATGTCGTTTTTGCTACCTGTTGGGGGTTGTTTGCTTAAAAAAGGCTTATAAAAGGGGGGGTCACGGGCACCCCAGGATCCGCCCTAGCTACGCCCCTAATTTTCACTTAAGGTGACTCAAAACAGTTTTCTGTGTTTTTTTAAGACTTATAGAACTCGGTGCAATTTTTCAGGCTTGGAACTGTTCTGTTTTGAATGGCTGTACTATTTTATTAATGTGACTCTCCACTGTTCCTTTCATTATGTTTAAGTCATAAATTAAGTTAGCACTGTCCTGTTGCATAGCAACAAACTTGACCCACTTTTCACCATCAATTGCATCTATCTTAAAAACTAAACCGGTGACCCCATATTTTTTTTGATAAAAATCTTTTTATTACACACAGAAGTAGAAACAGGGAAAATTAGAAAACATTCTGCGGAGTACGTAGATTTTGCTTAAATTAAAAAAATTGGAAATTTCCAAGTTGGAAAAATTCCACTCCGCAGTTTTTTTTGTTTTTTTTTTACAATTTCGCAGATGCATTCCGCTCTTGCTGTTGAACAAGTTTTTGCGTTAAAAACGTAGGGTCACCGGATCCGTTTTTGAGATATTAGCTTCGTGAATAAGGAATTTTTCGTGCGCGTTCTACGCGCAAATTAAAATCTCGACTTTGCAAGATGGCACTTTGCGCAGGCGTGAAAGTAGTCCGCTGCTCAGTAAAGCCTGCCATTCCACGCGAATAAACACGAATACCCGCGAATAATGTTTTCTTTTCGCTGTTGTCGTTAGCAGCATAAGCGGTAGAAAAAGGGTACCATAAATACCCGAAGGTGAGACTGGCCTAGTAAAAAGAACGAAGAAAACTTGAAGAGTAGTTTTTTCCTGCTGTTTTTTAGATTGATAGCCGGCGCGATCGATTACAACATCAATCACAATTTTCGTTTACGTTCCAGCACAGCGGTTTAAAAGAATGTTTTTTTCATTTGAAATTGCCGGAAGGATGGATGTTTTCGAAGATAAAAACAAGCGATATCGCAAACAGCTCACTAAACTAGGTGGAAACAGAGTTTTACGAAGTAGGCCTCGCGTCGCCATGTTTATTGTGAGTTTTGCAAACTTGAAATCTCGCGCGCTTTCTCGCGACCCCTCGAGTGATCGCATGATGCCTAGCGCTGAAGTGCGTGTTAGAGTCCAGGCTTCGCACGGAAATATTACTGTTTTGAGCCACCTTAAATAAATGTGGTTAAAGGTTAATCTTCTAGTCCCCAGAATGCACTGCCTTCGTACACAAGTGGTCGCCCGTATTTAGCCTGCCAAGTACAGAAAAAAAAAGATTTAGGATCTTTAGTTTCACCCATTAGCCCTTTCCAAAATTTTAAAATAAAGGTTTTTCAGTTAATACTATCTACTACAGAAAAAATGCATCTTCACTAAAAAAAAGTTTGGGTGCATAGCCTTTGCAAGTGAAAGCAGCTATTTTTGTTTAAAGGAGAGACAAATTCACACGAGAGTTGTTTCCCCAGATTGAACGAAGGTAATTATTTTTTAAAGCAACTGTTGGACTGTGTAAGTTGGCAAGTGAAACAATTAGCTATTGATCGACTTGAAGTAATTGGAGGTGAGTTGGTAAGTTAGTGAAGCTGATGTTAAGTGCACCAGTCGTTCATGAGAACAAAGAGAGAAGAACTAACGCTCAAAACGTTAGCCTCACAAACTTGATATGGCGGTTAACTTACCTTTATCAACTTCATAAATTAAATTGCGTCCCCATAGTTATTTTTTCTAGAAAAAAAAGAACTTGAACGAGCTCTTTCTAACTGTTAGACCTGTCTTGGTTCGTTCCATGCAGAGATATTCACAAGGAAGTCCTACTAGCGATTCTAAGCTGTTGGCCTGCTGTTGTCATCGCTTGTATCATGACCTACGTAGCTGGAATTGTCGTGTGGGCTCTGGTAAGTTTCCTTTATAACTTAAATTAGGACACGTTTCATCAGATGCTTTCATCCCCCCCCCCCCCCCCCCCCCCNCGCTTATATTTCATTAAGATCTACATGTAATCCGAGGAGATGTTTTAGTCATTCTCGACAACCATTCCAGACACCCTCCCCCCTCATCACCCTCCTTACTATTAATCATCTTTCAATCCAGGTTTCTTTCCAAATCATTTTTATTTTCAAAGCATTTCGCCCTGAGAAGACTGTCTTTTTCCGTTATTGGACTTCGCCTCCGAGAAGGGGCGGTTTTCATGAATAAGTCATGAATGAAACACTGAATAAAAATTTATCTCTTAACGTAAGATATCTTCTTTAACTATTACTTAAATATGCCGCGTTAGCAGCTTAAAACCAGTTACGTCTCATCGAAATCTAAAGCAAAAACTATGAACATTTTACCTAATGTTGATCGTTAACATCGAATACTAAAGATGTTCGCAGCAATCACCTTATTTCGAGTTAACAGCTTTTCGTGAAATTTTCTTCGGGTGTTTAAAGAAGCTACTTCACGAATGGTCACGAATGACATAACTTTAAAAACTGGTTTTCGTCATTTCTGATCATCGTTTGCAATCCGTTTAATCTACTCAAGACTCAGCCATTATTGCCATCGCTCTGGCGTTTTTCTACCATAGTATAAGACGATTTTCCAGTTTCCTTAATATGAATTCAGGTAATTTTAGTAATTAGCCTTTCTTATAATGATGTTCAATATTTTGTTTTGCAGGATATGAACTGGAATCACGTTGACTTTCCCAAATCTTTCTTTTCGGGATCACTCGAGGGATTCTGGTGGTCGTTCGTTACCATGACAACGGTTGGGTAGGTTTTATGGACGTTTTTCTTGTTGCTGTCGTCATTTTTAATTTCAAGATGTTCACAGATGTAAAGGTTGTTTTCGTTGCTGTCGTCGTCGTTATTTTCGTTGTTGTTGTTGTCGTTGTTGTTGTCGCCGCTGTTATGTGATTTGATATTAAAAGGTGAAAGAGTACCATTGCCTTGACCTGTTTTACTTAAGGTACGGTGATCGGATTCCTAAGTCCATTCCAGCCAGGTTGTTTGCTTTTCTGTGGACGTGGACCGGTATCGCTACAATAGCTGTAATCACGAGCAGTATGACAGCTTCACTCATGAGTATGGTGTTCAAGCCAGAAAGGATGATCTACGGAACAAAGGTGATGAATATAAACAAATACAATGGGAAATTGTTAAAAATAAAAATTGAAGACTGCCATCCAGCTGCTAACAGTGGTCGAAGTTGTCAATTCATTTGAGCATGGCATTTTGTTGATTTCCTTTTTTTGGCAACGCGACCAGTTAACGCGAACAAATCATGTTGAAGTATAGAAACAAAGCAAATTGAATACTTTTCTATCATACTCAACGTTGATTGGGTCAAGCAATGCCGTGTTTTCACGAGAGAGGTTTACTACGGTTACCGCTTACCGAGGTTTCGTAACCAAACCGCAGTTATTAGAGAAGCTGTTTACGCGGAACTAATTAACTAAAGTACGCCGTATACAACGGACGGTTTGAGGTTTTCTCAGAAACCAATGCTTCAATGTTGCACAGAAACTATTGGAAAATCAGTTATAAAATTTCTGACTTTACTCCAATGCCGAACGTAGGTCGTTGTCAATTTGTTTGCGGTGATGTCGAGCCAAACTCTCCTTAAATGTAAAGCTTTGTAGATGAATACTGGAAAGAAAATTTTGATATCTCACTGAGCCTCTTCCCGCAAAAAAAACTGAAACGACATCTCAGTGCCCGGGCGACGAGGATGTTTACCGGTACTTCTTCTTATTCGGGGCCGCTTAAAACTCTAACATTTGCTTTTCTTCTCCATAGACCTCAATTATGATTTTTTTCCCTCTCTATTCGTGGTAGGTCTTCTTCTAGTTACGCCTGCATGTAAACTGCTACTAAGCTACTGAGCCTCCAACAGAAAGGAAACACTTACGGCACTTAACGATGAACGGGAAACAGCAGTCCGGGATTTCTTTGCCTAAACATGGGCTTATTTAGCTTTTTTGGCCTGTTGACTTGAAACCTACTTACATTAGAAGGAATCTTTTTTCTATTTTTCACCTCTTTACGCGCTGAACGCGTGAACACTTGCTGCCAAGATGTCGCAACAACGTCTGCTTTTCCTCGGTTACCGTCGGTTACTGAGCTAAACCATGCCTGATGAGGCGTTCAACTGTCGACAAACCTTTGGTTGGCTTACTTTTGATTTTACCGCCATTTAACAAGTGGCGGCAAATATAAGGATTGATTGATTGATTGATACCGAGGTTTGCCACTGTGTTTACACGATTAAAAATTTCACTTCAGTAAAGCGGTTAAAACAAAACCAATGCAAGGTAAACATCTCTCGTGAAAACACGGGCTTAGTGACACTTAGCTAGTTGCGTTCTTAAGGTTGATTTTCCAACAGAATTACTGATTAATTTATGCTGTTCAGTTGGCAGCCATTGATAACTCCACTGAATACAAACTGGGACTCAGACGCAATGCCATACTAAACCCAGGTGGGTAGAGTCAAAGAACGCTAATGAACACTAATTCATTGACTGATCTTACATTAACAGTTTCATTCTCCTCTAAAATTGACTTTATGAGAGTTTCAACTTCGATCTACTATCAACTCCCAATGACTGGAAGTTAAACAGGGTACTTTGTGATAACAAGCTACCAACCGATGCTCCAGACTGCGTACAACAGTTATAAGAGATACGATCTCCATCAGAATCAGAAATATCGAACATAGCTGGAACTAAGCTAATTTTGGATAACTTTTTAATCATACTGGAGCAAACTATTTCTTGTTTGAAGTTTTTTCATGCTCACCTAGCATTGCATTGCATTGTTTATAAAGCCTTTTGCCCCGACTTGAAAACGTTGTACTTGTATGTTCATATTCAAACAAATCAAATCATGTTCATACGAAAAATTTCGTTTAAAAGAGAATTTATATTGTTTCTGCGCATCCTTACTGCGCACGCAAATTCAGACGCCACGTCATGCATCGAGCGCGCGCTAAGTTTAACAAATTGACGTCAGTTTTTCATGGTTCCGTCCTGTTGTTGATCATGAATTTTGTTATAACATTGTCAAAGTAGCTGTGGATCCACGAGACGATAGCTGGGTGGATTCGCAGACTACCTTGACAATGTTATGACGAAATTCATTGTCAACAACAGGACAAACGCATGAAAAACTGACGTCAATTTGTTTATTACGATAACAAATTGTCAAATTGTCCACTCTCGCTCGTTGATGCATCGTATAAATTATAAATTCATGTGTCTGTCCGCATATTGACAATGAAAATTAGCCAAAGAGCGCGCGAGAATTTCTGCAGTTATCCTAAAAAATAAAATGAACAGAAATAGGGCAGATGGCCATTGCTATAGCTTTGCCTGGATTTAACGATCTTGGACCGACACCTATTTTTCTTTTGACGGATCATTTTCTCTACCGATTTTCTATGTTTAGACAAAAAATGAAGAAAATCTATCGATTAGGAGTTCCTTTTAGCTCAGTATCTGTGCAGCGGTTTCAAATACCTTTTGAAGGGTTAAGATTTGTAAAAACGTTGGCAACATTTGGAATTATTTACGCAACAGACCCTCTTCTACAAAATATGATTAAGATCGTTTACCTCCGTTGAATCACCTTCGATATTTTTAACTATAAACCCCTGTAGACCATGCTCAATTACGTGCACCAATTTTTCAAAATCAGGGTAGTTTTCCACACGCTTTCGGTGACCTCCAATTTTTTTCTTTTTTTTTTTTTTTGCATTTCTGACTCAATTAACTCATCTGACTGCAGTAAAAATTTTAAAAAAATCTATCGACTGGAAAATTTTTGCGCGAACGTCCTTAAGAGTACCTGCCTGTAAAAATCAGACAAATTCTTAATTTCGCGGCAAGGGTCGAAAATTCGATTTCGCTCATATTCTTATGGTAGATAGGCTAGAG